CTATTCTAATAAATATAAAAGAAAAAAGGAGCTATACTTCAAAACACATACATATAAGTTTATATATACATATATATAAAAAATATATATGAAAATCACATTAAGGTATATGAGGCAGCAAGTAAACTAGCAAAAATAAAAACAAAACAAAAAACCCTAATTTTTCTCTCTTTCCACCTAATTTCAGAGGCCTAAACCTTAGAGAGTTCCAATTTTTAAAAATATTTTATTTACTTTTTTAATTATTTTAATTTTATATATATGCATGTATTTCCTGCATGTAGGTAAGTGCACCCATGTCGTGCAATGCCTGTGGAGGACAGAAGAGGCTGTCGGATCCCCTGGAACTGGAGTTACGGACAGTTGTTAGCTGCCCTGTGGGTGCTAGGATTTGAACCCAGGTCTTCTGCAAGAATAGCCAGTGTTCTTAACCACTGAGCCAACTCTCCAGGCCCCAGAGTTTCAAAATTTTAAAATATTTACCCTTTATAAAAGCTTTAAGGGATTTCCAGGTATAACTCATAGGAATCAAAGGCTTTGGAACGTTTATCACTGACCAGAAAGTTACAACTTCTGACAAGGTTTTATATTTATAGCAGCTTTAACAAAGTCACTAAAGAAAAAAATGTTTAGGTTGCAAATGCTTATGTGTACATTACACATGTAGCAAACGTAAGTCCAGAGCAAGAAGGAGCAGACACACACATACATACATGGTATCAGGAGGTGAGGATTCAGAATTGTGCATGGGTTAGAGGTTAGGAGTAGGGTGTGTGAGAGATAAACAGCTAATTTGCCATGCTTTACTAATGATTCGTATATATGAACATTTGAATGTCATCTGTAGCATTAAGGACAAGTATGCAGATAACAAAGGCAAGAAAGGTAGTGAAAGAAATAAAGGTGGAAGCAGGGAGAAGATAAGAAAGTTCTCCAATGGAATGAACTATAAAACATACACAAACACATATATATATCTATTATTAACCTAGACCTAGATATATGTGCACATGAAGTATGTATATATTTAAAAATCCAGACTCATTATACAAGAATATATGAATGCACATTATTTTTTTGCACACGTAATTGTGAACAATCACTTGGTTATTTGTGTAGGTGTGTGTTTTTAAACCATCATTCACTTTTTCTTTACTTTTTTGCAAATATAGTTGTGCTGCCAAGCAACTTGAGGTAAAGGCATTAAAAGGGTTAGAATATAACAAGTGAAAACAAAACAACTGCAATACTTCCTACAGGAGACTGCACAAAAAGCAGCTGGCTGGTTTCATATTGCATAAAGGTGCTGTGTTCCTTGATGAAGTAAACGATTTTCCTTGGACCAACATAAGGACCAGACCCCCACACAGTGTTGGCTTCTGCATCCCTGGAGGCGACCCTACTGAACAAACTCCAGTGGAAACATACATTGTATGTCGATACATCTTTCAGTTCTTCCTCTCAGAGAATACACTTGAACTTGTTAAGCAAAGTACATTGTGCGTAAGGTATCTTGGTGAATCTGTACAGCCTTGGCAAGAGCTTGTGGGTCTCGCCCATTGCTCTGTCCTGAAACATGGCTTCCTTCAGCACTGTAAGAGAAGGGGCAATGAACACAAACCTTCTGATGTAATAATTCTGAAGAACAAGTATTTTAGAAAATTCCAAAAATTTTAGAAAATAGAGATGGGTATAATGACCTATGCATTTCAACAATTCACTCATGGCCAATTTTACTTTATGTCTTTCATTTTTTCAGGATTAATTAGAAACAAATCCCAGACATCATGTAATTTTTCTACTACAAATCTTATTTATCTTATTTATTACAAATAATATCTTCCTTGAGTGATTTGGTAAAACAACTAAATTTCTATATCCTTCTATTATTGATGAACCTCCACAGTATGCTTAATAGAAAAGCTTATCCTGAGACATCAGTTCTGTCACCACTTTTCATACAGTGTACTGGTTCCTCTGACAGCTTGTGAAACTTTAATTCTGAATGTCAAGACTTGATTGCAAACAGAGGTACATACTTACATGAACATGCTTAAAGAAACTGCCTAAGAAAATCAGACCACACTTGGATTTGGTTTGAGAACCTGTACTTGTACCTGTTGTACTATTATGTTACCTGTCATGCTCTTTGTCCACAAGATGGTATCTGGCTCTGAATGCCACCAAATGAGCATAATACGCTGGTGCAGGTATAGAAACAGATCGTGTACAGCGTACATAAGTGTGGCAGAGCTGGTAAGTCAGCAGCTGAAGTTCATCTGCAGTAAAACAGTTGTCATCCCATAAAACATGATAGTGTGATGGACGGCTGGTACCCTATAGAGAAAGTAATGGTATAGTCTGTTGATTTCTAAACTTATTTTTTTCTTCTTAAAAAATTTCATTGGTGGGGTGGCAAGATGGCTCAGCAGCTAATGGTGCTTCCCACATAAACTTGGTGACTTAAGTTCAAAGTCTGGAACACATGTAAATAAAGGTAGAAGGGAAGAACTGAAACTACAAAGTTGTTCTCTCACCTTCACACTCATAGTGATATATATACCATGCCCATCATTCAGACACATACACAATAATATTCAAAATATTTTCATGGTTGGAGAGATAGCTCAGCAGTTAAGAGCACTGGCTGCTCTTCCAGAGGACCTGGGTTTGGTTCCCAGCATCCACATGGTGACTAACAACTATTTGTAACTCCAGTTCCACAGGATCTGACATACTTCTTTAGTCTCTGTGGGCATTGCACAATGTGGGTGCACTTACATACATGCAGGCAAAACACTCATACATATAAATGAATTTTAAAAAATTTAAAAAATAGCTAGGTATGGTGGGGCACACCTTTAATTCCAGCACTACGGAGGCAGGTGCAGGTAGATCTTTGTGAGACTGTGCTGGATAGCTTTAGTGTCAACTTGACACACCTGGGTTGAGGGAGTCTCCATTGGGGAATTGCCTTCATTGGACTGGCCTGTGGCCATGTCTGAGGGGCATCTTCTTGATGAGTGATGTGGGAGGGCCCAGCCCACTGTGGGTGGTGCCCCCCCCGGGCAGGTGGGCCTGTGTTGCATAAGAAAGCAGGCGGAGCAGGGGCCAGGAGAGCAAGCCAGTAACAGCATTCCTCCATGGCCTGTGCTCCAGCTCCTGCTTCCAGGTTTGTGCCCTGAGTTCCTCCTACCTTGGGCTCCCTGATGAACTGTGACCTGGGAGATGTAAGCTGAATAAACCCTTTCCTCCGCAAAGTTGGTACTGGTCAGAGTATTTTGTCGCAGCAATGAAGAAAAAAACTAGGACAGAGACCCAGGGCAGCCTGGTTTACATAGTGAGTTCCAGGCCAGCTGGGGCTATGGGGAGAGCCTGTCTCAAAAACCAATACAATAAAAAATTTAAAAAATTGAAAAATAAAGGGGCTGGAGAGACGGCTCAGTGGTTAAGAACACTTGCTGCTCTTGCAAGGGACCTGGGTTTGATTCTCAGCACCCACATGGTGGCGCTGTCACCCTCTTCTGGCCTCCATGGGCACTGCACACACACACACCATGTACACCATGTAGGCAAAATGCCTTATGTACATAAAAATGTAAACAAAAAAGTCTTCATTGACATATATCATTGTACAGGGCACTGAATCACATAAGAGCATTTTTTTTTTTTTTTTTTTTGGTCTTTTTGAGACAGGATCTCCCTGTAGCCCCAGCTGTCCTGGAACTTGCTATGTAGACCAGGCTGGCCTCTAACTCACAGAGATCCAGCTGCCTCTGCCTCCCGAGTGCTGGGATTAAAGACATGTGCCACCACACCCGGCATAAGAGCATTTCCAGATGCTGCTCCACATGCCCTGTCTGTACCCCTGCACCCTCTCATTAGTCCCTTTCCCTAGCCAGTTTCACTTCTACTTTCATGTTATGTGTACACTCATGATTTTACACGTCCATATAGAATTTAGGGCCCACACATGGAGAAAGTATGCGATAGTCATGTCCATATAGAATCTAGGGCCCACACATGGAGAAAGCATGCAATAGTCACGTCCATATAAAATCTAGGGCCCACACATGGAGAAAGATGTGATATTCATGTCCATATAAAATCTAGGGCCCACACATGGAGAAAGCATGCGATATTCATGCCCATATAAAATCTAGGGTAGGGGGCTGGAGAGCTGGCTGAGTGGTTAAGAGCTCTGACTGCTCCTGCAGAGGACCTGGGTTTGATTCCCAGCACCCACATGGCAGCTACGAACTGTTCTTAACTCCACTCACATACATGCAGGCAATACACTCATACACATAAAAAATAATAAATAATAAAAATAAAAAAATAAAAAATTAAAAGAAAAAAAAATCTAGGGCCCAGACATGGAGAAAGCATGTGATATTTGTCTTTCTGAGACTTAATTTGCTTAACAGGATTATCTTCAGTTACATCCATTTTTCTGAAAAAGATATGGTTTTTTCTTTATGGGTGAAAACAATTTCATTGTGTATATATGCCATGTTTTCTTTCTGGTTCACTGCTGATGGACGCCTGGGTTGGCTCCATGGCTCAGCTATCATGACCAGTGCTGCAATAAACATTGATGTTCAAGTGTCTCTGTGGTGTGCTGACTTGGAGTCCTGTGGGTAAATACTCAGGAGTGGCAGAACGGGGTCATACAGTTTTAGTTTTAAAAAATATATATGTATATTTTTGTATTGGAGGAGTAGAAAAGAAAGCAGTGCCTGTAACTGGGCCCTATTCAGTGGCAGTTTCTTGTTCCATAGGGTTAAGGAAGACTTTGAGGAAATAGAAATTGTTTGGAAAAATCCAGGTGGTGTTGCTTTGTATGCTGTGATGGGTATGAGAGATGAAGTGAAGTGTGAAGAGCCCTCACACCCTCCATCCTGCCTCACTCTGTCCTGGAACCCTGGGACGGAGAAAGCGCCACTTTTGTTCCTGCTTTGGGATTGTTGACTGCCACGTAGTGATAGAAAACCACAAGACAAGCGACAGGCCCAGCATGTTGGTGAAGATGGTGAGCTGCACATCCATGATCATCCTGACCAACTCCACTCGGCTCCGATGCTACCAGCACACAAGCTGGAGGTAGGAGACCTGGGCTGGAACTCCTATTTTTAGTTTTTTTCTTTTTTTCTTTACATTTTATAGCTGGGCGTGCGTCCCAGAACTCGGGAGGCAGAAGCAGGCTGATCTCTGTGAGTTCGAGGCCAGCCTGGTCTCCATAGCAAATCCAGCTGTGGCTACAGGGAGACACCCCCCTCCAAAAAAGACCAAAAAAAAAAAAAAAGACCAAAAAGAAATTTATTTGGGGGTCCAGGTATGGTAGCACATGTCTTTAATTTCAGATCTCTGTGAGTTGGACTCTGGCCCAGCCTTGAACTCACTATGTAGCCTAGGCTATCCTCAAATTCCAGAAATAATGAACATCAATAAACACACAAGACTTGAGTATATAAGGCCCAAGAGATATGAATGAACCTGGGCAAGTCATATCCACTCTTATAAGTGGAAACTATCATATTTTTAATTTTACCTAGTAAAAATTAAGACTAATTTTTATTAAATTTTAAAATTACAGTTATTGTGCACATGTGTGTGCATGTATGTGGGAGTCAGTTCTCTCCTACCATGTGAGTCCCAGGGACTAAACTCAGGTTATTGGCAAGGGTCTTTACCCACTAAGCCAGTCTTGCTGGCCTACCAAGACTATTCTTTAAAAATTTCAAATTAGTTTGAAAATTCTTGAGTTGGGCTTGCTGATGCAAGTCTGTAATCCCAGTTACTCAGGAGGTTTAGGGGAGATTGCAAATTCAAAGGTTTAGGGGAGATTGCAAATTCAAAGCCAGACTGAACAAATTAATGAGACCCCGTGTCCAAACCAAAAATAAAAATGGTTTGAGAATCTAGCTCAGTGGTAGAGCACTTGTCTGGCATATGAAAGGCCATAGGTGTAATATCGTCAAAATTAAACAAACTAAAAGCCTAATAAAACTGAGCAGATGTGAAAGAACAATGTGGAAAATAAGTTTCAAAATGATGTCCTAAATAAACTATAGAGAAAGAAATAGACACCCAAACACAACAGACATTTAGAACCCCAAATAGGCATGACCAGAGAACTGTTCCCTAAAAGTTTTAGGCTAAATACAAAAAGCATTTCTGTGTAGAAGACTTATAATGACTATTTGCATATCAATGATCTCTCAAAGTTCTAGAATGAAAAAACTCTGCTAAACCAGTATTTCTAAAACTTATTTCAACAGAGACTTTTGATATGACTTTTGACTCCTCTATGATATTTTTAACATTTTATTATTTTTATTCTATGTGTATGAGTGCATTGCCTGCATGTATGTAAGTGCACCCATGTTGTGCAAAGCCCGTGGAGAGCAGAAGAGGGCATCGGATCCCCTGGAACTGGAGTTACAGATGGTTGTTAGCTGCCATGTAGGTGCTGAGAACCAAACCTGGGTCCTCTGGAAGAGCAGCCGGTGCTCTTAACCACTGAGTCATCTCTCCAGCTCTGTCAGTGATATTCATTAACAAGCTACAATGGGGCCCTCAAGATGGCTCAATGGGTAAAAGGTGCTAGCCTGATGATTGAGCTTGTGATACCCAGAACCCCTGCGTAAAGATGGAGAACTGATTCCACAAAGTTGTCCCCTGACCTCCACACATGTGCCATAGTACATGCATCTCTCTCTCTACTCCACCTCTCTCTCTCTCTCTCTCTCTCTCTCTCTCTCTCTTCTCACACACACAAATGCACAAATAATAAATAAAAATTTTAAAACTTTAGCAAAAGCTACAATGATAGTTAACATAGGGGAAAGATTAGGTGAAAATGTATGTTCCATTTAAACTAGTTTTATTCCTAGAAGATACTACTAACTTTCTGCTCACTAACTTACCAACTCATCCTGAAAATGTACAACACTGACCCTAAAAAGGAGCAGATAGGGAGGCAGATGGAATAAAACAAATGGAAAAGAAGATACATTTTCTTGCTTGCAAATGACATGATTCTATATTTAAAAGACCTTTAACACCTCCCCAGAAAATTCTTAGACCTGATAAACACTTTCAACAAAGTAGGGCACAAGACCAACATGACAATTAGTAGCTTTTCTATTATATATACCATTAATGAACTTGATGAGAAAGAAATCAGGGGAGGCCTGGAGAGATGGCTCAGCAGTTAAGAGTACTGGCTGCTCTTGCAGAGGACCCAGGTTCAATTCCCAGCAACTACATGGCAGCTAACAACTGTCTAACTCCAGTTCCAGGGGATCCACCACCTTCTTCTGACCTCACTGGGCAATGCATGACACAGGTGTACTTACACACACACAGGCATACTTATATACATAAAATAAAAATAATAAATAAAATATTAAAAAAAGAAATCAGGGGAACAATCCACATTCACAATAGTAAAAAATTACAATATGGGAGTTAAGAGTACTGGCTGCTCTTGCAGAGGACCCAGGTTCAATTCCCAGCAACTACATGGCAGCTAACAACTGTCTAACTCCAGTTCCAGGGGATCCACCACCTTCTTCTGACCTCACTGGGCAATGCATGACACAGGTGTACTTACACACACACAGGCATACTTATATACATAAAATAAAAATAATAAATAAAATATTAAAAAAAGAAATCAGGGGAACAATCCACATTCACAATAGTAAAAAATTACAATATGGGGGTGGCTGGAGAGATGGCTCAGCGGTTAAGAACACTGGTTGTTCTTGCAGAAGACCCGGGTTTGAATCCCAGCACCCACATGGCAGCTAACAACTGTCCATAACTCTAGTTCCAGGGGATCTGAGAGCCTCTTCTGTTATAAACTAAAAGAACAATACATAAGCTAGATGTGGTGGCGCATGCCTTTAGTCCCAGCACTCGGGAGGCAGAGGCAGGCGGATTGTTGTGAGTTCAAGGCCAGCCTGGTCTACATAGTGAGTTCAGGTCAGCTGGGACTACAGTGAGACCCTGTCTCAAAAAGACAAAAAAAAAATAAAAATAAAAAAAAACCTTAAAAAATTATAATATGGGGGCTGGAGGGATGGCTTAGCAGTTAAGAGTACTTGCTGCTCTTGCAGAAGTTCTCAGCACCTTCGTGGTGACTTACAACTGCCTGTAACTCCAGTTCCAGGACACTGAAAAGTACATGTGGTGCACTAATCACAAGCAGGCAAAACATTCCTACACATAAAGTAAATAAATAAAAAAATATTTTTTTAAAGTACTAAAATACTAGAAAACAGGGCTGGAAAGATGATTCAGTGGTTAAGAACATTTACTGATCTTGGAGAGAACCTGAGTTCTACTACCAGCACCTGTATCAGGTGGTTCACAACTACCTGTAACTCTAGTTCCAGGGGCCCCAATACCCCGCTCTGGCCTCTGGGGGGCACTGCACACATGTGGTACATATACAGAAAAGCGGGCATGCACACATATACATAAATAAAAATAAAATTAAAGATTAGAAAATACCTAGGAATAAACCAAACCAAGGAGATGACAGTCCTCTACTGTGAAAATTTTGAGACAATAGATTAAGAAAGAAATTGAGCTGTGTGTGGTGGCACACGCCTTTAGCCCCAGCCTTGGGAGGCAGAGGCAGGTGAATCTCTGTGAGTTCAAGGCCAGCCTGGTCTACATAGTGAGTTCCAGGCCAGCTGGGGCTACAGGGTAAAGGGAACCAAATAGTATAAAGAGAAGAGATTGGGCAGCATAGAGTTAACTGGGTGAGCTGCTTTGGGAGGTCACAAGCAAGTGGGAGGAATGCCACAAAATTCCTTGCACAGAAGGAACTGTGTGGAGGTGTCAGTCAGCACACTAACACAACAACCTTCATCTTGAGCTTGTAATTTCAAAACTGAGAATGTCCTTGAAGACAGTCAGTAGCCATAGCAGGACTTTGTACCTAGATAGTATGGCGGGGGCGATGCTTGTGTCCTGTGAGTAATCATTCACTGTGCTTCCACTTCTTATGCTGTAATTGTTTTGCAAGGCCAATAAAAGGAAAGTAAGAGGTCACATGGGGCTCTCGCCCTAGAGATGATGAGCCCTCTGCTATCTTTTAAATAAGCATTCCCTGTGTCTGTGGTTTCCAACCAGAGCTACATAGTGAGACCATGACAATAAATAAATAAATAAATAAATAAATAAATAAATAAATAAATAAATAAATAAGAAACTGAAGACCCTAGAAAACAGAAGGACTTCACAGGTTCATGGTATGGCAGAATCCAATCATGAATATAGCTATATCACCAAAAGTAATGTATACATTTAATGAAATTCACATCAAAGCTCCAATGATGTTCTTCCAGATCTAGAAAAAACAACCCTAAAATTAATGAAAGCACAAAAGGGTTCAAACAGCCAAGGCAATCCTTAACAGAAACAGCAAATTATATTACATTTATTATATTATATTACAATTTATTATATTACAGTTACAGAGGGTCTGGAGAGATGGCTCAGACGGTAAGAGCTCTGGCTGTTCTTGCAGAAGATCTGGGTTCAGTTCTCAGCACTCACATGATATCTGACAACCATTCATAACTCCAGTTCCAGGGGATCTGACACCCTCTTCTGGCCTCTATGGACATTGCATGACATGGGTGCATTTACATACATGCATTTACATACATGCAAGTAAAACACGGATACACATAAAAAAAAAAAAACATATTACAGAGCCACAGTAAAAAACCCAGCATGGTACTGGCACAAAATCAGACATGAAGATCAATGGAATAGAAGAGAGAACCCAGAAACAATTTTCAACAAAGGTGTCAAAAACACACTTTGGAAAAGAAGACAACCTTTTTTTTTTTTTTTTTTTGTCATTTTGAGACAGGGCCTTCTTTTAGGCCTAGCTGGCCTGGAACTCACTGTGTAGACCAGGCTGGCCATGATCTCACAGAGATGCACTTGCCTGCCTCTCGAGTGCTAGGTAAAGGTGTGTGCCACCATGCCCGGCTCATTAAACAAATGATGCTGGGAAAACCGCCAGGCAATGCCCCATGCATGCCTATAACCACAGCACATGGGGAAAAGAAAGGATCACTGAGACTTGCTGGTTGCCAGCCTAGCCAAAAGATTCCATGTTCAGCAAGAGATTCTGTCTCAAAATAGTAAGGTAGAGAGTGACAGAAGAGAACACACGATACCCTCCAGCACACACATATGCCTCATATACATATGTGCACACACACACACACACACACGCACACACACTCTCTCTCTCTCTCAATTCAAAATGGATCAGAGATCTTAACATAAGACTTAAACCTTTGAAAATGCCAGTGGAAAATAAAGGTTAAAACATTTTGAGATATAAGCATAGGCAACAACCTTCTGAAAGGGACTCTAATAGCACAAGAAATAATCCCAATAACTCACAAATGGGACTATATGAAACCAGAAAGCTTCTGTACATCAAAGGAAACAATTTCCAGAGTGAAAGACAGTCTACAGAATGGTAGAAAATCTTTACTAACTACACGTCACACAGTGAACTAAAATATAGACTATATAAAGAACTGCAAAAAATATATACCAACCCCCACCAAATCATCTACTCAGAAAATGGGCCAATGAACTGTACTGACACGTCTCAAGAGAAGAAATACAAATGGTCAATAAATGCTTGAAAAAGTGTTCAATACCCTTAGCCTTAAGGGAAATGAAAATAAAAACTGCTATGAGATTCCATCTCACCCCAGTCAGAATGGCTATCACCAAGCCATTAACAAATGTTAGTAAGGATATGGGGAAAGAGGGACCCCTATTCATTGCTGATAGGAATGTAAACTTGTGTAGCCATTATGGAAGTCAGTATGGAAATTTCTCAGAAAACGGAAAACAGAACTACCTTATAATCTAGTTATACCACTCTTAGGTCTAAGCCCGAAGGACTCTAAGTCAATATGCACCACAGAGATTGCTACACTACTATTGCCAGAAAATGGTACCAGCCTAGATGTCTACGGATAGATGAAGGATAAGGAGAATGTAGCACACATAACAAAATGGGATTTGAAATTTTTATGTATAGGATTTATGTAGCTCAAACTGGCTTCAAACTTGCTATGTAGCCAAGGCTGGTTTTTAAATCCTGATCCTCCTGCCTCCACCTCCTAAGTGCTGGGACTACAGATGTGTGTGACCATGCCCAGCATGCAACAGAATTTTATGCAGCCATAAAGAAAAATGAAATGATGACATTAGAAGTCATTATACTAAGCAAAGTAAACCAGATTCAGAAAGACAAATATTGATGCTTTCTTTTTATATGTGGAATCTAGATTTAAAATTATATGCTAGGCACAGTGGTACACACAGCAGTGGGGAGGCAGAGGCAGGCAATCTCTGTGAAATGGAGGGCAGCCTTGTCTACACAGTGAGTTTCAGGCCAGCTGGGGCTACAGGGAGACCCTGTCTCAAAAAGACCAAAAGAAAAAAAAAAACCAAAACTAGAAGAGGGATCTTGAGAAGGGAGGAAGAGAGCCTAAGGGATGGGGGAGAAAGAGAGAGGGTAATAGGAAACATGTGACATAAAAGTGGGAGTGGGGTAGGAGGGACAGTCTAGGAAAGGAAGGGACTATCCAGAAGGGAGCAGGGGATGTGGGGAAGGGAACTAATGATAACAAAGTAAAATGACATATATGTGTGAAAATGCCATAATGAAGCCTATTATTTTGTATAGTAACCTAAAAATAAATTAATAAAAATTTTATGAGTTTTCATGAGATTAAGAGTCTATTTTAGGGCAATTCATTCTATTAAGCTAATATATTCTGATATTTTCATAAAAAGATTTCTCTCTCAAAGTAAGGAAAAGTAAGAAATTTACTTATTGAAAATTACACGTGGAGCCGGGAGTGGTGGCACATACCTTTAATCCCAGCATTTGGGAGGCAGAGGCAGGTGGAACCCAGTGAGTTCAAGGCCAGCCTGGTCTACATAGTGAGTTCCAGGACAGCTGTAGCTACAGGGAGACCCTGTTTCAAAAAAGAACAAAAAAAGCAAAAGAAAATTACACATGGAAATAATTAGGGATGCAGAGAAGAGTATTGTTTCTCTTTTTGCTGAGGGTCTAAAAATATACATTGGAATTTAAGTTCTAAATTAAACATTTCAGTTTAGGAGTAGGCTTACTTGTATTCCAGCATGGCTGCAGAGGTAAAAGTCAAATTCATAAGGGTGTGTAATGTCTGTATCAACTGTTGTTCCAGCTGGGATATTGCCACTTCTTCCAACCTAGAGTTTTTGGATCAAAATTTAAATAAACAAGACAATTTAAAAAAACATCTTGTTGTCTTACAAATCTCAAGGATAGAAACAACAAACAAATATATAAATAAAACCTTCAAAAACCCCTTAAGTTAAAAAAATCTGATATTACATTTAATTACAAATTAAATCTTAAAATGTTTAAATACATAGGTTGGTCCCATATTTGACTACTTTCAGCTTGAAAATTACTTAAGTAATTATTAAGTACAGACCTTACATAGGTCCTGGATCCTAGTCTTCAATGTTTCTTAAAATAAGTGGTGATAAATAAGCAAGAAAGTTATATAGTCTCTACTGAGGCTTAGTAGGTAATACCAGTGTGGGTAAAAGACATACAAAGTTAACTTTAAGTGCTCCAATTTATGGTACACATAAACAGTATGTATTCTTGAAATCATTTATGAAAATTACCATTTTTCTTGGAGAATACTATACATGAACTCGAAGCAATGCTGGCAATATCAAGAGTCACCATTTGTTAGCCATGTCAGGTACTTTAAATATAGTATTTCTATGTTCTGATAACAGTTTTGTTTTGTTTGGGGAGCTAAGGCTCAAGAATATAAAATAATAGCACACAATAAAGGCAGAACTGGGATTAAAACATGAAATGATTACAAAGGCTCAATTCCTTTTATTTCATACTACCATTAATTAATTAATTAATTTATTTATTTATTTGAGACAAGGTCTTCCTGTAGCCCAGGTGGCCTGGGATTTACTATGTAGACTAGGCTGGCCTCAACCTCACAGAGATCCACTGCCTCTGCCTCTCAAGTGCTGGAATTAAAGGCATGCACTACTGTGTCCGGCTTATACTATTATCTTCAATGCCTTATAAGAGTGGCTCTGATGTTACTGAAATGCTTAAGAAATCCTAATTACGAGTCGGGCATAGTGGTACACATCTTTAATCCCAGCATTTGGGAGGCAGACGCAGGTGGACCTCTCTGAATTTGAAGCCAGCCTGGTCTACAAAGTGAGTTCTAGGCTAGCTGGGGCTACAGGGAGTCCTCGTCTCAAAAAAAAAAAAAAAAAAAAAAAAAAAAACCCAAAAAACACCCCCCCGCAAATCCTAATAATGAAAATCTCTCAAGACATAGGGTGTCATGTAGCTCTGGCTGGCCTCAGACTGGCTATGTAGATGATGAACTTTGTAGCAGGAGGCCTCCAAAGATGGCGCGGACCCAGAGCCCTGGGATTCAGCGAGAATTCACTTCACTTCTTGGTCTGCAAATAGCCCGCCAAAAGGAGCCCACGCCTCCCACACCCTGCTCGGGAGACCAGTGACTGCTGACAGACTGCGTGGCGCAGACCAATCAGAAAACGATACGCTGACTAAAGGGACTTGGGGGCAGAGAAAAGGGAGATATAAGGTGTGCCTCCTCCTGCAGCACCTCACCTAGTGCTTGCTCTACCCGACTCCTGGGGTCTGTGTGTTGTGACTCCGCGCCTCTTACCCCCTAATCGGCAGGGGACCCGATCCAGGTTAGGGTCTTCACAACTGGCCTGAGGAGAACCTGCAACACCTGGCGCCAGACAGAACTTGAACTTTAATTCTGCCTCTACATCCTGAGTGCTAAGGTTACAGGCATGCACCACAATGTCTTGTTTTATGTAGTGCTGGGCACTGAACTCAGGACTTTGTGCATGCTAGACAAGTTCTTTACCAATCAAGCTATAACTTGTCTTGATAGTGAAAATTTTCTTAGTGAAAACTAAAATGTATATTATGCCCACCTTTACCTCTTTATCTCCTAAATATTTAAAATGATTACCTATAAATCTAGGTTTATATACCTATGTCAGAAACTTTTTTACTGACTCATATATTACTTCTGCCACATAAGGCACTGCTGTGAGTGGGTTGAATTATAGCTAAACAGACCAATCAGCTAGCCTTTACTAGGATTAAATTAGTTTATCTTAGAAAAAATACTTAGGCTGAGTATACAGCTTAGTGGTAGAGTGCTTGCTTAGCATACATGAAGCCCTGGGTATCATTCCCAGCATTATAAAAAGAAAGGGAGGAGAGGAAAAAGAAAAAAGAAGGAAAGAGGTAGGGAGACAGGCAGGGAGAGAGGGGATGAAGGAGACAGAGAAAAAGGAAAGGGACAGTGTGAGATGGACACTGGAAGCCTAATGGTGGCAGAGGGCACTGGGCTTAAAATAACATTACAACAGATATAAAATTACCCTTTCTGTCCTATCAGCACAAAATAATCGTGTGTGATGCCTCTTCTGAACTACAATGTAGGTTATTCCAGGTTGATAGTCTTTCTCCAAACTGATACAGGCTTCTCGAATTGCTAGCAGCTCATAATATAATACCTAGAGAAGATATAACAGGAAGGTTTAATACAGCCAGTTTTTTTCTAATATTTCAAAGACAATGATTTAACCTCATGATTCCTTTTATTTATTTATTTTTATTTTATGTGTATGAGTGTTTTGCCTGCATGTAAGTGCACCATATGTGCAATATTGGAGGAGGCCAGAAGAGAGTGTCAAATCCCCTAAAACTGGAGTTACAGATGGTTGTTATCCACCATGTAGGTGCTGGAAACTGAACCCAGGTCCTCTGTGAAGAGCAGTCAGTACTGTTAATCACAGAGCTATCTCTCATGATTTCTTAATACCACTTTATAGCTCAACATGCTTCTTTATTTAACCGTGAGCATAGCAACGAAGGCTTACACATCCACAGGGAACATTTTGCTTATTTATTATTTTTATTTAAAAATATTTGATTATTTTTATTTAATGTGTATGAGTGTATTGCCTGCATGTATGTAACTGCACCTGTGTTGTGAAATTCTTGAAGAGGTCAGAAGAGGGTATCAGATTCCCTGGAACTGGAGTTATGGATAGTTGTTAGCCACCATGTGGGTGCTGGGAATTGAACCTGGGTCTTCTGTAAGAACAGCCAGTGCTCTTAACTGCTGGGATATCTTTCTAGCCCTTTATTTATTTATTTATTCATTTATTTATTTATATTTATGCGTGTATCTGTGTGTGGGTGCCATGTGTATGTGGGTGCCCACAGAGTCCAGAAGAGGGGGTGTGATCACCTGGAGCTGGAGTTACTGGCAGTTTTGAGTCACCAGACATGGGGGGTGGGAATCAAACTCGGGTCCTCTAGAAGAGCAGTATACACTCTTAACCACTGACCCATCTCTCAAGACTTCACAGGGAACATTTTTTTTTTTTTTTTTGGTCTTTTTGAGAAAGGTTCTCCCTGTAGTCCCAGCTGTCCTGGAACTCACTATAGACCAGGCTGGCCTTGAACTCATAGAGATCCACCTGCCTCTGCCTCCCAAGTGCTGGGATTAAAGGCGTGTGCCACCACGCCTGGCTTACAGGGAAGATTTTTTAAAAAATTTATTGAAGCATCAGATTCTCACTTTATGAACTCTCAAGTTCAAGCTTCACCTTCAGAACTAGACACCATATTACAACATAGTATTTGATTTAATCTTAGTTTAATATATTCCAGGCAACCAACCTGTCTAAATTGTCCTTCTGAAACACCATCTCGATAAAAGATAATACGAGTAGGTTTGAATCGAGTTGACTTATAAAACTGGATGAGCAGTTCTCGGACCATGGAGGCCAAGTCCTGGATGATCTCCTGTCGGGGTCTCTGAACTCTTACTGTGGCACAGTATCTGCTTGGGTGGGCATCCATACTACCTACAACCTAGGTTGGAAAAGTAAGGAAAAACAAAAATTAAGGTAATCAATACTAGATGGACTTCATTTACATCTACACTTTCCTATAGCCTTACTGTTTACCACTGTTTACTTTGAAGGTAATAAAGACAGATAATTGCCAGTGAAGAACAGAATAAAAGTGCAGAATAGTGTAAAAAACTATAATTAGGCTGCATTTTTCATTTTCCATTTGTGTGTGTGTGTGTGTGAATGTGCATGTTCCGTATGTCTGTAGGCACACGTGTGGATGCACCTGCACATTGAGTGTGTATATATGTAGAAAGCTGAGGTTGACATTAGAAATCATCTTCAATCATTCTTCAACTTTATTCAATGAGGCAGGGTCTCTTACTCAAACTCAGAGCTTGCCAACGTGGATCTTCTTGCTACTGAGCTTGCTCTGGGGATCCCTAGTCACTACCTTCAGAGTCTGGAGTTACAGGTGGGTTGACATACCCACCCAACATTACGTGGGTTCTGGGCATCTGAGAACTCTGGTCCTCACATTTGTGGGGCTTTAATCAACAAACCATCTCCTAAGTCTTAAGCTGTATTTTATACTTAAAAACTGGGTTTGAGCCAGTGAGATGGCATCTGCTGCCACGCCTGATGATCTGAATTTGAAGCCTGGGATCCACATGGAGGAAACAGAGAAATGTCTCCTGTAAATTGTCATTTATTACCCCACCCACACAAATTAATAAATAATAAAAATTAAATTCTAATTATTGTTGGTAACCTAAATATGATTCAGGAATGGAAAAGACATACATAATGAGACTCTGAGAAAGGAAGTACAAAAGGAACCAAAAGGACTGATTTTTAAAAATATATTTCCTACTTCGGCATGCTATCCCAGAAACTACACTTATGACTTCAGCATCATCTAAGAATTATTATGCTGCAAATTTTATTTTATTTTTGTGGTGCCAAGGAGCAAACATAGGGCCTCAGCCTCACACATGGTAGGCAAGTGCTCTGCCAGTAAGCTGTATCCTAAGCCCTTCATAATTCTGAAAATCACAAATTTTCTTATTGCAAATTCCTGGAGCAGACATCCTGAATCTACAGTTAGTCTAATGTGCTGTTGTTGCATCTTATCTGGTATTCAGATAAGTTATAGTTTTGAGACTGTCTACTTCAATTTTTTTCTTTTTAAATTTTAAAGAATTTATTTACTTTTATTTTATGTGTATCAGTGTTTTGCTTGCATGTATGTAAAAAGCCCACAGACGTCAGAAGACGGCATCAGATCCACAGAATTGGGGTTAAAGACAGTTGTTAGTCACCGTGTCAGCCACTGTGTGGGTGTTGGGAACTGAATCTGGGTCCTGTGCAAGAGCAGCCAGCACTCTTGACCACTGAGCCATCTCTCCAGCCCCCTCATTTTTTTTCTGTGTCTTATTTTATACTGCTATATGTTTGGAGCAAAGGAGACTTCAAAGCATGAACTTATAACATTAATATGGGATCACAGTCTAAGTTGGTCATTCTTCCTATCTACTCTCTTTCTTCCAACATAGTCTATATCAAAGAAATGCTTCAAAAATAGTTCATCTTAGCACAGTTGTCCACACCTGTAGTCCCATTTATTTGGGAGGTTAAGGTGGCAGGATTACTTGAGTCTAGGAGTTCAAGACCAGTCTGAGAATTGAACCTGGGTCCTCTGCAAGAGCAGCCAGTGCTCTTAACCACTGAGCCATCTCTCTAGTCCCGTCTTTCTTTCCATTTTAGAAAAACGAGACAAGGTCTAGCTGTCTTATATGTAGTAAAGGTTGTTCTGGAACTTACCACCTGCATAGGTTGGCCTCGATGTAGTGATAAGCAGCTTCTCAAGTACTGTGACTGCAGTGTGAGCCACCACACCTAGCTTTAATTTTCTTTACTAATGAACACAGCTTTGGAATTTTTAGGCGAAAAATTTACTATTATTGTTATTTTAAGAATAAATAAGCTTTGTTTGACTGAACAAAATTCAGGTAAATAGTATTATAAATAATGCAATAAAATTAAAATGTTTTGTAACTTAATTTGTTGTTTTTTGAGTTAGGGTCTTGCTGGGTAGTCTAGGCTGGCGTCAAACTTACTATTTGCCTGTTTTGGCCTCATGAGGACTTGGATCCTGTGAGATACCATGTCCACCTGCTGTTTAGTTTCTGAAATTTATCAAGCATTTTTCAAATATACTGGCATTTAAAAAATAGTTGCATTTGTTAAATTCAAGTGATTTTCAATATGAGTAAAATATCACAGACTTTTTGAAGTTTTTTTTTTTTTTTTTTTTTTTTAACACTTTTACAATTTTATTAGAATTTTAAAGAAAAAGAAATCCTCAGGGCAGGGGAGTTGGTAATCTAGGCAGCTGCCTTGAGGGGGAGGTCAGACACGTGGCTGACTGGCAGCCACATGGCTGGAAGAAGGAAGCTTTAGAGAAAGCAAGCAATATAAGATGCTAGGGACAGCCCAAAGCCTTAAAGCAAGCATGATTAGTAAGGAAGGCAACTCACAGACTATGTGGCTGTAGCTAGGAAGTTCTGCCGGCTTTTTGAAGTTTTTAAGAAAAAGCAGATACAGAAAGTTTATAGTTTTACAGGTGAGTAAAGATATACTAGGAGTTAGGAGTGGCAGTATTAAAGAGCTCTAGTGTGGGAAGTGTTGAATTGGTGAAAACGGAACTTTTTTTTTTGGTCTTTTTGAAATAGGGTTTCTCTGTAGCCCCAGCTGTCCTGGAACTCACTATGTAGACCAACCTGGCCTTGAACTTACAGAGATACACCTGCCTCTGCCTCCCAAGTGCTGGGACTACAGGTGTGCACCACCACACCTGGCAAAAATGGAATATTTTTAAGAAATGTTTATTTATATGTATGCCTGTGTGTCTGTGTATGGTGTGTGTGTGTGTGTGTGTGTGTGCATGCGTGTGTGTGCGCCTGCCTGTGCCTGTGCTGTGTGTGTTGGTGCCCAAAGAGACAGAAGAGGGCACTGGATTCCTTAGAGCTATAGTTACAGACATTGGTGAGCTGCCTGATGTGGGTGCTGGGGGCCGAACTCCAGTCCTCTGAAAGAGTAACAAGTGCTCTTAACTGCTGAGCCATCACTATAGCCCTGTGAAACATATTTTATATTGAAAAAAGCAATCCACTAAGCTTATATGCAATATATCTTTCTGCAACAAATATTGAAAATATATCAACTCTTTGGACTACAAAGAATAACCAAAAATGTACAATCATAGAAAGACCAAGTAGGCAAATTAAAATAGAATATAGATTTGAGTAATAAAGTTAAAAGTTTTGGGGGCTGGAGAGATGGCTCAGCGGTTAAGAACTCCGGTTGTTCTTGTCGAAGACCTGGGTTCGAATCCCAGCACCCACATGGCAGCTAACAACTGTCCTAACTCCAGTTCCAGGGGATCCGACAGCCTCTTCTCTCCTCCGTGGGCATTGCATGACACAGGTGCACTTACCTACACGCAGGCATAACACTCATACACATAAAATAAAAATAATAAATAAAATTTTTTTAAAAAGCTAAAAGTTTTGATTTAACAGATTTATGGAGTTTGTATCTCCCAAACCAGAGTAATAACTCTTTGTAAAAGTTCCCAAACCTAAAGAATATTTATGAAAGTTGAATAAAAGAAAACCATTAAAGAACTGCAAAAATTAAACACAAAAAATTCCAAATCCTTCAATCAATAAATGGGGTAATGAACTCAGACAATTCTCAAAAGAATGAATACAGGGTCAGTGGGATGGCTCAGTGAGTAAAGGTGCATGCAGCCAAGTCTAAGAACCTGAATTCGATCCTGGGAACCACATGATAGGAGAGAATCAACTCCTACAAGGTGTCTTCTGGTCTCTACATGCACCATGTGGCACATGAGCATGCACATACACACAATAAATAAATTTAATAATAAAAAGTAATGTGGTACATATTCACAATGGAATTTTATGCAGCTGTAAAGAAAAACGAAATCATGACATGTGTAGCAAAATAGATAGAACTGGAAGTCATTATGTTAAATACGCCAGTGTCAGAAAGACAACTACCACATGCTTTCTCTCATATGTAGAACCTAAATTTGAAATGGAGGGGGTAACAGATTACACTGAAACAGCAGATGGGGAGATAGGGGGAACCAGCTGGGGGGGAATACTGCAGAGGGCAACGGGGGAGGAGAATGATTGAGAATGGCACATAAATATGAAGATGCCACGATGACACCTAATACTTGGTATCAAACCTAAAAAAATTATAAAAAGGAAAGTATCATTAAATTTCAAAAAGCTGAAATAAAAATGCTGCTATTGATCTAAACTTCAGAAAAAACTTGCCTAATGATACTCACAGCAGCAATCGAAGGCTTCTTTCCATCACCAGCAGGTGGATGAGTGACATCTGCTCCCAAAAAGATCACTGGTTGCTGGAATACAGAAGGTCTTAAACACATTTTTTAAAGGGTTAGATAATGCACGGGTTTCATCATCTATTTATCTGCTTCACACGACTGCAATATAATAGCAAGTCATTGACAGTACAGAGGAAGCCCCACACAGAGAGCTTCATAGACCTGAACTACTGACTGACTCTTAATTCATGAATCTCTTCTGGTCAATGAAATAAAAGCTGTTACAGCTCTTTCTGATGACTTGTGAGAACTTTCATGCAACTGTTTATCAAGTTCTTTACCCCATTTATTGATTGGAGGACTTAGAATTTTTTGTGTTTCATTTTTGTGGTTCTTTAATGATTTTCTTATAGCAAATTTCATAAATGTTCTCTAGGTTTGGGAATTTTTGCAAAGAGTTATTATTCTGGTTTGGGAGATACAAACTCCATATATCAGTTAAATCAAAACTTCATTACTCAAATCTATATTCTATTTTAATTTGCCTACTTGGTCTTTCTATGATTGTGTAACTTTAAATAGTGGTGCTAGGGCTGCAAGAGACAACTGATGCTAGTGTTCTCTGTAATGGGGACAAAGTGATAAACTTCTTCATAGTATTCCTCCCAAGTGCTGGGATTAAAGGCATGCACCACCACACCTGGCATCCCATCAATTTTTACTCATTAAAAAAAAATCTCCTCACATCTTAAGTTTCTGTAACCCCTTAAGGATAAAAATGATAATTAAAAAATTTTTTTTGGACTTTTTGAGACAGGGTCTCCCTGTAGCCCCAGCTGGCCTGGAAGTTGCTATGGAGACCAGGCTGACCTTGAACTCACAGATATCCATCTGCCTCTGCCTCCCCAGTGCTGGGACTAAAGGCATGCATCACTATGCCTGGCCTCATTAAACTTCTGACTTTAATTTTAGTCTTTTTAGACTTTAGATATGGATTATGGGAGTCTACTACTCCCTAATTCCCTAGCCCAAAGATATTTGGGTACATATTTAATAATCATAAAATAGCTAATACTTTCTTTTAAAACTTCATCCTTTAAAATCGAAAGAATTCTTAGAGAATTTAGTCAACAAGTTTACAAACTATCTCGTTTATGAATTTCATAAATTCCCTGTTTAATAGGGATAGGAAGGGAGAGGATGATATGGAAAAACAGGATCAGACACACATGGGCCAGTTCTTAGTCTAATGAATATTTATGGTACATATAGTCAAGATACCTAACTTTTTTAGTCCTATTTGATTCAGCTATTATGAACCTGTTGTTCAAATCTCCAAACTGCCCTTTCCTCAGTGATCTGTATAATCAGCCACTTTTTGTTTCCTGCTTATGTTGCTGCATACTTCTAAGAGCTGATGCTGCTTTCTCCACCAGCTACATAGCTGCTTTTCCTCCCTCATAATCTCAGCAAGTAGCCAGGTTGAAGACGACTAGCAAATAAAAAGAAAGTCCTTTAAGCTGGGCTCTCTAGTGAGAAGCAAATTTTGCAGTACCATATGACTAGGCAAAAACGGTATGTTGCACACTGGTCAGAGGGGCTTAAAGAACAGTTTTTGCTCCCTGCCCTCCAAGGTCGACTAAGTTCCAGCAGACTATGAAGCATCTCTCAAAATGTCCTGTAACTGTGGTGAGTCACCTGTCCTCTTGTTCAGGGAGGCCATGACATAGAGGTAACATTTCCTCCATGCTTCCAAGTGAAGCTAGCCATGGTCGAGCAGGACCTTTAACTTATATTCACATAGGCAAAACTGGTAAAAGAAAGGAGCCAGGGGCTGTTTCCAACCCCATATGACCCCTGAGGAACAGGTCCTCAAATGACCTTAAGAATAAAAATAAATTGGTTTATCTAGGCCAACTGTATGACCTTAAACACCAAAATGAAAGTATAACCAAAGATTAAAGGGGCCAATATAAGTTTTTAAGAGTCCATATGTTTAGCTAAAGGCTACATAAGAAGCAACAATGTTAGATAGGAGATACCTTCTTTTGAGTTGTTGGCCAGGTTGGCCAAAGGGACTCCGAGACAGTAACCCAGCACAGAACTGGGAAAATGAACAGCAGACCCCAATATTATCTAAAGGAACGTTGGCAACTGATTGCTGCTAGATGGGGAAGAGCTGATCTTCCTAAAACAAGGGACTCTAGATAGGCTGACTAGACTCAGTGGATGGACTAGCACAGGGAAACGGCTGGGGGCACTGATAACACAGTGGCCGGTAACAGGGATGACAGAGTATATGGGCTCCAGTGGGGGTTGGGGGAGGCCTTAAGAGGGTGCCATTTGGGATGTGGGTATAAAGACGAATAAGATTGTTTGGGATGTTCTGTATGAAATACACACACAAAAAAATCAATACATTTTTAAAAAGGAAAAAAAGGGAAAAAAAGGCAATATGTATGGTTTGCAAGATGTGATTCTGTGTATGTCCTAGTTTGTTTCTTCATTGCTGTGACAAAACACTCTGTCCACTACCAACTTGGGGAGGAAAGGGTTTATTCAGCTTATATCTCCTGGGTCACAGTTCATCAGGGAGCCCAAGGTAGGCACTCAGGGCAGGAACCTAGAGGCAGGAGCTGGAGCACAGGCCATGGAGGAGTGCTGCTTACTGGCTTGCTCCCCTGGGCCCTGCTCAGCCTGCTTTCTTATGCAACACAGGCCCACCTGCCCAGGGGTGGCACCACCCACAGTGGGCTGGGCCCTCCCACATCACTCAGCAATCAAGAAGGTGCCCCATGGACATGGCCACAGGCCAGTCCAATGAAGGCAATTCCCCAATTGAGGCTCCCTCAACCCAGGTGTGTCAAGTTGACTCTAAAGCTAGCCAGCACAGTGTATGTGAGTGCAGATGCCCATGGAGTACAGAAGAGGGTGTCAGGATTCCCTGAAACCAGAGTTACAGGTGGTTGTGAGCCACTCGATGTGAGTGCTGGGAACCAAAATTAGGTTTTCTGCAAGAGCAGTGCTTGCTCTTAATCCCTGAGCCATCTCGCCAGCCCCGAGAATCTCATAATCTTGATAAATTGTCTATATAGCCCATGGCAAGAATCACTAAGGTTATGTTTAATATATTTTTAAAAACATTTATTATTTTTATTTTAAGTGTACGAGTACGAGCCTGCATGCATGTGAGTGCACCCATGTCGTGCAATGCCGTGGAAGTCAGAAGAGGGCTTCAGATTCCCCTGGAACTGGTTCGTAGCTGCCATGTGGGTGCTGGGAATCGAACCTGGGTCTCTACAAGAGCAGTCAGTGCTCTTAACCACTGAGTCATCTCTCCAGCCCCTATGTCTAATATCTTATAGTAGTTAAATATGGCCATATGTAAAAAAACAAAGATATGAAAAATATTAATTTTAAAAATAAATAGCTTACCTTTGATGAGGTACAAGAATATTATTGATTCCTCCAAGTTTAACATTTATCTTTAGACACAAGTTTGAGAGAGTTTGAGGAGATGTTTTCATTACGTTCTTGACTTGCACACACTGTGTGGCCATACCCAGAAGTGTATCTCCTACACGTTTCACTTCCGCTGTGGACCAAATGCAAAGGACCCTAGTTAGAAAAAATACCTGAAAATAAATTACTTACTGAAAATAAAGCTACATGGGATCTCCCTTGAAATATATCATCATATTATAGGACACCCACAATTATACCAATGCTAAAATAATGCTACTAAAAATGCCTTGAAAATTTAAGTATTTAGTTATAATTTTTTAGTTGGCTTCTTTGCATATAAAAAGTATATTTTTAGGTTGGGTGTGGTGGCACACGCCTTTAATCCCAGCACTTGGGAGGCAGAGGCAGATGGAGCTTTGTGAGTTCAAGGCCAGCCTGGTCTACATAGTGAGTTCCAGGACAGCTGGGGCTACAGGGAGACCCTGTCTCAAAAATACCAAAAAAAAAAAATTGTATTTACTCTTGGCAAAGTGTGGAAAGTGGGGCATGAGAAGAGACACAAGTAGAAAGAAGAAAATGAACAGTCCTGGTGGGGATTTGAAGTAACAGGAAAACTGATGAAAGCAGCACTGGAAGAGCTTTATAAAATGGGGTGGGAAGGCCACGAGGGAAGCCGGACTTAAGACTTCTGCTGCTTCCTGACATGTGCACTTCGGTTACCTTCCCCTCTGATTGCAGACATCTGGAAGGACCTAAACAACCAGAGGATTATATTCTGCCCGGAGGCTGTAGATATAGCTTGCAACATTACTAGGCTCATTGTAGGGACCGATCTATTCTGCTTCTACTCCCTTTTCTATTGGTCTGGAAGAAACCAAGACATCTTTCAAAAGGCAAAAAGATAAACATATCAAGATATCCTGATCAGGAAATATTAATTCAACAAAGAAACGAAACAGAGGAACTCTAAATGCACATTGCTGAGTGAAGAAGCCAATTTGAAAGACTAAGTGTTGCATGACTGCAACTCTGTGACATTCTAGAAAAAGCAAAACTATAGAGATATTGCAGAAATCAGCAGCTTTAAGGATTCATGGGGAAGATGAACAGAGGATTTTAGAAGCAATGAAACTATTATGTGTGATACTGTAATAATGGATACCTGACATTATGTATTTGTCAGACCCATACAAGTGTACAAGATGAACAGTTAATTTTTATTCTTTTTTTGGAGACAGAGTCTACGTAGATCAGGCTGGCCTCAACTCACAGAGATCCACCTGCCTCTGCCTCCGAAGTACTGGGACTAAAGGCATGTGTCACCCACCATGCCTGGCCATGAACAATGAACTTCAATGTAAACTGTGGACAACACATTAATAACAGTATGTGAATATTGTTGGCTCATTAAATGCACCACATTAAGGAAAGAGGTTTATAGCTGTGCAGGACAAACTGTATGCAAAGGAAAATAGCATATTGGAACTCAATACTATCTCATTTTTCTACAAATCTAAAATCATTCTAGTATTAATTTTTGTACATGTATGTGTGTTTACATGTTCATATGTGTGCATGTGTGTGCATGTGTGCAAGCAGGCCAGGGTAAATCTTGGATGTCATTCATCAGGAGATGTCTTCTTTGTTTCTGTTGGAAGCAGGGCAGAGGCTGGATTGGAGGGAAATGAATGGGGCAAGAAAACCAGTTTAAAGACCATGGAAATACTTTGCTCCCAACAAAAGTGTTATGAAAGTGTGTGTTTGTTCAAATCTTTGTCAATAATAAGTCTTATCATTGTTGATAAAATTAACTTGCTGTAGTTAATATTTCTCTCGTGATTAGTAACACTGAGCAACTTCTTTTTTTCAGTGCAGGGGACTGAATCTAAGTTCTTGCGCATGCTTGGCAAGTGCTTTACTGATGAGCTTCATCCACAGTATAAATTACTTTGAATAGGCTTTTGAATTTGAAATACTGAATTCCAGACTAAGGACACATGTTTAGGGGCTGGAGGATATAGCTTAGTTGGTAGAATGCTTACCTACCATGCACGAAGCCCTGGATTTGATCCCCAGCACTGTAAACATCACCAAGCATGGTGGTGCATACCTAAAGTCCTAGCACTTAGGAGATGAAGAAAAGAGGATCAGAAGTTCCAGTTTATCTTCAGCTACATAGCCTGGGCTACAGACCATGTCTCAAAAAAAGTTAATAAATTAATAATTTAGTTAATTAAAACAAAATGAAAGACTAGAAAAAATTGCCTTTATTAAACCAATCCATTTAATTTTACCCAATAACAAGCTAGTATTTACTGCATTCTGTTGATTTTAACTTTAGTACATTTGCGACACACATAATTTAATTTTTATGTGGTTATATCTATTAATTTTCCTTTGTCATTTATTCTTTTTTTTTTTTTTGCTTTTGATGGTAAGGGATCAATTCATGACCAAGCACTCCCCCAATGAACTATAGCCTCAGATCCCTTCTGATATTTCCTTTTCTTTTTTGTGTGTGCATGTATATTCATGTATGTGCAGGTGTGCAAGTACATGTGGAAGCCAGAAGTGGATGCCAAATGTCTTCTTCAATCATTTTCCATCTGTTTTTTGAGAAAGGTCTCTCACTGAACCTGGAGTTCATCAATTTGGCTAGACTGGCTGGCCAGGAAGCGAGATCCTTCTGTTTCTGTCTCCCCAGTGCTAGGATTACAGGTGTACGCTACTGTGTACTTTATACCGAATCTTCCCAGCTCCACTTTTGTCATTGCTAAGATGTAATAATTTTACTACATTCCGTGGTTTGAAAGTTATGGTTCCTTTACTTTTTCCATGACTCAAGGACATTTATCTTATTAATCTCAAAAAGCTTTACTTTGTTTACAGTCACATAAGGTTAGGTATTAGTATTTTAGTTCCACAGATGAGAAAACTAAAGCTTAATATGATTAAGTAATTCAGCCACAAGACATCAGTAGCACAACTGGCAATATCTGAATATTAAGCAACACTCTCATCTCCAGAGTCTGTGCTTGTAACCTGTGGCACTATATTTCTACTGAAATTAGCAGAGTTACCAGGCTCGTTGTAGGGACCTTTTTGGTCTTTCCTTTTGGTCTTTTTGAGAGAGGGTCTCCTGAAGCCCCAGCTGGCCTTGAACTCACAGAAATCCTCCTGCCTCTGCCTTCCAAGTGCTGTGATTAAGGGCATGCACCACCACGCCCAACTTCCAATGCCATTTTTATTGCACATTTCTTCCCTTAACCTTGTCTTATGATACTTCTCTTAGTTATTGAAACCGTTGGATTCCCTGGAACTGGTGTTACGTATGGTTGTCAGCCCTCTTGTGGGTGCTGGGAACTGAACCCCAGGTCCTTTGCAAGAGCAGCCAATACTCTTAACAACTGAGTTGTCTCTCCAGTCCCTTCTCAGGGTCTTTTCATGAACTATTTAGTTTTCAGGGTTTTTTTTTTTTTTTTTTGGTTTTTTTGAGACAGGGTCTCCCTGTAGCAACAGCTGGCTTGGAACTCACTATGTAGAACAGGTTGGCCTTGATCTCACAGAGATCCAAATGCCTCTACTAGGATTAAAGGCATGCACCACCACATCCAGCTAGCTTACAGTTTTGTCTTAAATTAACAACACATGAATATTATAGTATAAAATATGCTTTAGATTTGAAAATTTTAGGATGCATAATCCTAAAACCAGTATCAAATACATGAAGAAAAAAAACATAGTATCTTTGTCGTTGTTGCAGTGCTGGAGCTCAAACCCAGGTCCTTGTGCATGTTAGGTAAGTGTACCCTCACTCCCTTGAAAAATGTAGTTTCAAAATATCCTTACCACTCAGGCACGGTGGTGTACACTTAAGAGGCAGAAGCAGGCAGATTGCTGTGAGACTGAGGCCGGTCTGGGATGTTCTACATAATGAATTCCCTTCTTAAAACAAAATAAACAAAAAGATATCCTTACCATACACAGGTGTCTTCCCTGGCAGGATGACGATAATAAGTTGTAATCCAGAATATGTATTCTTGAGATGTCGGAACATGGGCTCCACACTGTCTGCCCCCTGTGCATACTTGCAGAAGCATGGCTGACCTTGGATGGGCATTCCTGCATCCTTGGAAATCTTACGCAGCTGGTCTGTGAAACCTCTAAAGAAAGGGAAATGACTAAGTATAAAACCTTTGTCTAGACATCAAAATGTCATGGTGTTTGAGAAAACAAAATATTTTGTCTATTTTTGTGTGTAGTGTTGAGAACTGGAACCGGGGTCTGTGCATGTTAGGCAACTGCTCTACCACTGAGCTATATCTTCAGCTTCAAACCTACACAGTAATAAGTTTGAGAAAGAAACAGAGGATGAAGCAAAGGTTTATGTGATTTCTCACTATATAAAAGGCCACTAGATTACTGATGTTAAAGGCAACAGTGGGGGCCAATAATCTATAGTAGTCTCCCTTTATCCTGCCTCAGGGAATATGTTCAAAGATTCACCAGTGGGGCTGGGAAGATGAGTCAGTAGGTAAAACACTTGCCATACAAGCAGGAGGACCTAAGTTTTACCACCCAGGACTCATGTAAAAAGCTGTATCTGTACATGCCTATAATGCTAGCACTGGGGAGGTAGAGACTGGAGGATCCCCGGGGCTTGTTGGCCAGCCAGTCTAACTGAATGAGTTCCAGACTAAGCAAGGTGCCCTGACTCAAAAAACAAGGTGTGGCCAGGCCTGGTGGAGCATGCCTTTAATCCCAGCACTCGGGAGGCAGAGGCAGGTGGAGTTCTGTGAGTTTGAGGCCAACCTGGTCTACATAGTGAGTTCCAGGCCAACTGGGCTACAGGGAGACCCTATCTCAAAGAGACAAAAACAAAACAGAACAACAACAACCCCTCCCCCAAAACCCCCAAAAACCCAAGGCAGAGGTGATTGAAGAAGATACCCAACATTGCTTCTGGCTTCCACATGCATGTACACATCTGCATATGAACACATATACACATGTATACACACATATATAAACAAAGAACACTTCCCGTGGATGTTTGAAAACTAGACCCTAAAATTTAATGCTGTTTTATACCTTAACTAAGCACATACACATGAGTATAACTTTTGAAGTCTGAGGTACAAGAGCAAAATAAGCACACATTTCTTCTTTTTTACAATATCAAGAATAGAATAGTCATTTTTATGGCACATCTTTGAAACTTCAGCATGCAATTTTTTTCTTCCCTTATTGAGAGTTTTTAGCTTTTCACTTAAATAACTCAGTGAGCTATAGGCCAAAGAGATCCTGTGTCAAATATAATGTGGATAGTGTCCTAACACACGTGTGCACACACACGCATACACACACACACTCACGCACGCAAGTTGTTTCACAGGTTGTCCTTGAACTTATGATCCTCCTGCCTCAGCCTCCCAAGCAACTGCAATTATAAGTGAGCCCAGCTGGATGGAAAAAACAATTTTAAAGGTTTAGTGATCAAATATATTACACAGAGGCAACCTTTGTTAGAATATGAGCAATTTAAAATCGAAACACAGGGGTAGGGGTGTAGCTCAGTGATACAGCATATTGAGCATATTGCATACACAAGGTCCTGGGTTCATCCCCACTCCCACACATACACACACACACACACACACACACACAATACAAACAGGAACGGTCCCCAAAACAAAGCAACTAAACACCTTACTTCAATATTTCTTCTCTGCACTGCCTCTGTGTAGCGAAACAAGCTATAGCCCACATTTTGATTTCAACTCCCGTGTGAAATTGTTTTCCTCGCATATCCCATACTCCGTGGCTTGGTGTTGCTACTGTCCGATTCTATAAGAGAAAGAAAAAGATGGTAAAAGGAACAAAACATTTAAATAGACAATGCATTTCAATGAGCTAAAATATGCATTTCAAATTGCTGAGGTGATATATACATATATATATATTTTATTATTGTGGGGCTCGAGAAATAACTCGGTGGTTAAGAGCACTTACTGTTCTTCCAGAGGACCCAGGTTCAGTTTTCAGAATCCATGTAGTGGCTAACAACCATATGTAACTCCAGTTCCATATGATCTTACTCCCTCTTCTGACCTCTCTAGGCACTGCATGGTATGGGTGCACTTACATACATGCAGGCAAAACACTCATGCGCACAAAAATTTTAAAAATTACATTTATTCATTGTGTGTGCATGTGTGCTATGGCACATGTGTCTGATTTTTTGTGTGTTTGTTTTTGAGACAGGGTCTCACTGTAGCCCCAGCTGGGCTGGAACTCACTATGTAGACCAGGCTGGCCTTGATCCACCTGCCTCCCAAGAGCTGGGATTAAAGTGTGTACCACCAGGCCCAGCTTGTAGTTTTGTTTTGTTTTTTCCTTTGAGACAGGGTCATTGTGAAGCCCTAGCCAGGCTGGAATTCACCATGTAAACCAGGCTGGCCTCGAACTCACAGAGATCCACCTGCCTCTGCTGCCAGAATTAAAGACCTGTGCCACCACACTCAGCTTGAACTGATCTATTTTGAATATCCTATGTGGGACTTTTAAAATCAGTATTATTTATACTTTTAAGACTAAAAAAACACAACAAAAATTACACTAAACTCAGAGTTTGGTAAGATGATTCAGCAGGTAAAGATGATGCCTGCCAAGCCTGATAACCTGAATTTGATCCCATAGAACCCACATAGTGGAAGGAGAGAACCAACTCCCTCAAGTTATCCTCTGATTTCTACATGCCTACTGTGGCATGCATGTGAGCATGTACACATGTGTGTGTGCATACATACACACACAGAGTAAACAAATAAATAAATGTAAAAAATTATACTAAACTGAGCTGGGCATGCTGGTGCATGTCTTTAATCCAAGCACTTGGGAGGCAGAGGTAGCCGGATCTCTGAGCAAGGGCCAGTTTGGTGTACATAGTGAGTTCCAGGTCAGCTGTGGCTACAGTGAGATACTGTCTCAAAAAAGATCATTATATAAATATTATATATATGTATATATATACATATACATATACATATAAACTGAAATAAAGATACCTTGAAACAAAATACCCAGCATATTGTTGGAACAATGAAACAACAAGTAGAGACTTAGCGTACCCTTATCTCCATACTTAATAAATTATATGTGTATGATTAAAACATCACTGATAGGCTTTACCCGTCCTCCATACTGGAGCATAGGGGCTGGAAGCACTCGCCCAGTTACGTGGGCCATTTCATCCCGCACTTTAAATTGAAACTCCTGAACGAAAGGATCTGTTTCGTAATTTGCACTTCTTACCTAACAACAGAAAAAGAAATTGTCATTATTCTCAGACTTTCCCTAAATCACCTACTTTACTCATTAGATCCTCTTTTTCTTTCACTACGTCAACTGTGTTTGTAATAGGTTGCAACTAATGGTGCCCTAACTATAGAGTCAAAAATATTAATCTGGGGACCATGAGTCTTGGACTGTAGGAAATCTGTGAACCCTTTATAATTTATTTGAAGTTTAAATATTATTAGGTTGAATAATAAGGAATTTCAACTATATCTGACCCATGAAAATGATAATTTTAAATGATTAAACAATATTTAAGGAGAAGGAAATAACTCATCTAAAAAAAAGATAAGAACCCCTGATTGCATGAAACAATAAAATGCTTGGTTCCAATTAAGCATGTAGCTTAGTTGAAGACAGCTTTATGAGGCCTTTAGTCGATGTCCAGTACTACACAGGAAAAACTAAAACCAAAAACCTCTGATTATAAGGAGTCTAGGCACATAATACTAAAATTTGTTTTATATAAGGCTTGATAGGAAATACTAAAAAATTTTTTCTAGCTACTTTGTTTTACAATTTATGAGTTTGCTACAGTATTACCAGATAAATAGTACTATATTATAAATAAGTTTATTTAATGAAATATAGTAGAAACAGATAAAAAACTAGTATCAGTTGTAGGTTAAATTTTATGTAACATATGCACACATATAGTCAAAGAATACATCATTGTTCAGTATTATATATTACCATTATGCATGCTTATAACATACTTACTTGCTCTCTGGGTGACAAGGATACAAAAAGAAGGCAGTGTTCAAGTTTGAATAAAAAGTCCATTAAAAAAAAACTACATAATCATGGGGGCTGGAGAGATGGTTCAATGGTTAGAGAGCATACTCCAATTGAAGAGGACCCAAGTTTGATTCCCAGGACCCATATCAGGTGGCTTACAACTGTCTGCAACTCCAGCTCCAGGGGATCTGATGCCCTCTTCTGGCCTCTTCAAGCACCTATGTTCACATGCACATACCCCCACCACACAGACATATACACATGATTGAAAAATAAAAATAGCCGGGCGTGGTGGCGCATGCCTTTAATCCCAGCACTTGGGAGGCAGAGGCAGGCGGATCTCTGTGAGTTCAAGGCCGGCCTGGTCTACATACTGAGTTCCAGGACAGCTGGGGCTACAGGGAGACCCTGTCTCAAAAAAAAAAAAAAAAATCTTAAAAGCTCATATATTATCTAAATACTTAAAAACAACCTTCTGACAATAAGTAGGAAAAGTCACTTTTTTTTTTTTGTTTTTTTGAGACAGGGTCTCCCTGTAGCCCCTGCTGGAGTTACAGGCAGTTTTGGGTTGTGAGCTGCCTGATATGGGTGCCGGGAATTGAATGTGGGTCTACTCTTAGAGCAGCAAGCAATTTAACTACTGAGCCATCTTTCCTGCCCTAATCAACTTATTTAGTTATATTTAATTTTTAGAAATGGATAGATAAAATTATATGTTTTTATTTTAAAAAATTTTATTATAAAAGTAGTGTGTGATCTTTACAGAAAAATAAGGAAGAAGGACCAATGAGATGTCTCAGAGGGGAAAGCTTCTACCTCTAAGCCTGATGACTAGAGTTAGATCTTGGGTCCCACATGGAGGAAGGAGAGACTCCCACAATTGTCCTCTGACCTCCACATATATGTTGTAGCACATGTGTACCCACACACATATATACACACATGCACACACATATACACATAGAGAGAAATAAAATGTAATTTAAAAGAAAGATAATAAAAGTTCCTTATAATTCTATCACCTTAGCCTCCCAAGTGCTGGGATGACAGGTATGAACTATCAGGTTCTTTTCCTTTTGAGACACCCTGACTTGGAACTCTTACAGAGACAAGACTGGCCTGGAACAGAGATATATACCTGCCTCTGCCTCCTGCATGCGAGATTAAAAGTGTGTCACCACAGTTGTTTTTGTTTGTTTGTTTGTTTGTTTTAGAGACAGAGTATGTCTATGTAGCTCAGAAAGGCCTGAAACTCAGGGTTTAAATCTAGGGAACAGGCAGAGGCAGGCAGATCTCTGTGAGTTTGAGGCCATCCTGATCTACATAGCAAGTTCCAGGGGAGCTGGGGCTACAGGGAGATCCTGTCTCAAAAAAAAAAAAAATCTAGGGAAAAGGGGATTGCTAAACTCAGGGTGATCCCCCTGCCTCAGCCTCCTGAGAGCTGGGATTATAGGCGTGGGGTTTACAGTTGCCAGCCTGATATTGATAGCTAAAAAAACCTAAACTGTTAAGATTTTCAGTATTCCTCATTATAATACCCTGACTTTTCCCTTTTCTCCTTCTTTTAAGCAGAGGTTCAGTTAACTAAATTAAAACATTAGCTCTGATGAGTCTGTTCTCTAGATTTAATTAGTCTAGGGCTAAATTAGAAGGACCAAAGTCTTTTTATTTAACTTGCTAATGTTTACCCCTGTCCCACAGTACTAGATGATTCTATGATCTCTTTTAATCCTGACAATTCTTGAAACAGTAATCAGGTATTGGCTTGTAAGGATATGGTTTTTCAGTAGCTTATCCTAATACACTTTTTATTATTTTTTGAAATTTTATGTGTATGTGTGAATTGCCTGCATGTATGTAGGTGCACCCATGTCACGCAATGCCCAAGGAGGTCAGAAGAGGGTGTTAGATCCCCAGAAACTGACGTTATGGACAGTTGTTAGCTGCCATGTGGGTGCTGGTATTCGAACCTGGATCTTCTGCTAAGCCATCTCTCTAGCCCCCATCCTAATATACTTCAACTTCCCATTTCCAGGGTTACGTACTAACCAATCTGCTAATTTCCTCTTGTCTATCTGGTGCAGATCTTGCTGTTGCCTTAATCATAGTGGAAGTCTGATTGTCAGTTAGTTTCTTGATACATCGTTGCCCAGCCACAATATTGCAGACCTACAAATAGAAAACAATTTTATACTAGATGTATGTATTTTTGTCAGATCTTAATGCTAATCACATATGAAATAAAAAATTTAAATCTATTTCATTAAACCTCTTTTTAATATCATGTTAACTAAAAATAGTGAATAAATTACACATAATTAGGTAAAATGTATACAGGGTAAAAAGATTGAAAGAAGCATACCAAAATGCTACCTGTGCTAGGCCTATGGGTGAACTTTCTTCATACTATTTTACTTAATGAAAATTTAGAATGAACTCAAAGTTAAAAATGATTCAAATTCCAAAATAATTTTAATGTGAGACTATGAGATAAATTATAAGGCAACATGAAAAGCTGGGTGTGGTGGTGCATACTAGGGGGAGGGGAAGGGAAGAACTAGGCAGGTGCTGGGGGCTTGCTGACCGGCTAGTCTAGCCAAAACAGCAAGCTCCAGGTTCAGTGAGAGACCCTGGAGAGCATTAGAGCCCGATTCCCCCCCCCCCCCCCCCCCGAGTGATAAACAACAAGCTCTGCATAAACAGTGTTGAGACATTACTTCTAGTGGCAGGTATGTATGCTTCTGCTCCTGCCCCACTTGCAGACAGGGAAGGTGTGGGTACTTCAGTTGAAGAGTGTATTTTTCTCTGAAATACTGAGCTACAGTTCTTTCCACAGTTTGGCCATTTTCTAACTGTAATGGAAAGCTGGAAAAAGAAAAGCAGACATGAGCAACTCTTATACTACTATGAGCTAGCAAAATACCTGACCCGCTATTTAGAGTAAGTTGCCTCTTATTATTGCTGTGATAAACACGGGCTTTTCTTACGTTTGATGGCTGGCAGGCCTTCTTGTTACATTACAAACACGGTATTTCCGTCTCATTGCTCCACAATGAGTCACTTCAACCTTCAGACCTGTTCCCAACAAGAAAAATGGAGGTTACAGAAGTTCCATGAAAAATACTTATAAAACCTATACACTACTATAAAAACTCAACTTTGAGCAGACAGAAAAATCTATAATACAAGCAATGTGATATTAACAGGGAGTTTTATATGTAACATTGCTAATGCTTACAACCTTTATTTTGTTTTTTTGAGACAGGGTCTCACTATCCCTGGCTGTCCCGGACTCCTATGTAGATCAGGATGACCTCAAACTCACAGAGATCTATCTGCCTCTGCCTCCTGAGTGCTAGGATCAGAGGTGTATGGCATCACACCCAGCCAGTTACAATCTTGACCTTTCACTAGAGTGCAACCTAAATAATTCTTAATTAAAAAAAAATACTGATTAAAGCTGGGTATGGTAGTGCATGCCTTTAATTCTAGCACTTGGAAGGCAGAGGCAGGTGGATCTCTGTGACATCGAGGTCAGCTTGGTCTATGTAACATGTTCTAGGTCAGTTGGGGCCACAGGGAGATCCTGTCTCAAAAAAAAAAAATATATATATATATAGATTGATTGATTGATTGATTGTGTGTGTATAATGGGCGCATGTGTGGAAACTTGCAGGGCCTTACCAACTAAGTTGTCTCACCAGCCCTCCAAATAGCAATTTTTTTTTTTTTTTGTCTTTTAGAGACAGGGTCTCCCTGTAGCCCCAGCTGGCCTGGAACTCACTATGTAGACCAAGCTGGCCTCGAACTCACAAAGATCCACCTGCCTCTGCCTTCCAAGTGCTGGGATTAAAGGTGTGTGCCACCACGCCTGGCCAAATAGCAATTTTTAAAAAAATATTTTAAAATTTTATTTTATGTGTGAATGCCTGCATGTATGTATGTGCACTGCATGCATGTCTGTAGTGGCCAGAAGAGGGTGTCAGATCCCCTGGAACTAGAGTTATGGGTAGTTGTAAGCCACCATGTGGGTACTGGGAACTGAATTTGGGTTCTCTGCAAAAGCAGCCAGTGCTTTTAATCACTGAGTCATGTGTCTAATCCCACCTCCAAATAATTCTTACAATTAGGAGATCTCTATATTCTTTTGAAGTAACTGATCCCTTTGGGAATCTGATAAAAGCAATAAACTCTCAGAAAAATGCATACACATAATTTAGGAAATGATTTTAGACATTTCTGGATCTCTGTACTCCATTGTGATCCAAGGATTCCAGATCAATTCTAGAAAATAAAGAAATGGGTTTTAAATCCTTAGCTGGAAAAAAAAATTAAGGTACTAGGAATCTAACCCAGGGCATTGCGTATGTAGGCAAGTATCCTACCACTGAACTACATCCACCCTGCCATTTTCACTGCTGAGTTGGCCAGACTGGCCTTGAACGTGTCCTCCTGCCTCAGCCTTCCGGGTAAACAGGATTACAGGGGTGTACTTCTTGCCTGGCTATCAGCTGACATTCTTTGGGATGAATTTTTTAAAGTAGTGCTGGCAAATAGAATTTCCTGAGATGATGTTTTACGTTTGTGCTAATATGCTAATCATTAGTAATATGTGCTAAGTATTTGAAACACAGCTACTGTGCTGGGGAAAAATTTTTTTTTTGGTCTTTTTGAGACAGGGCCTCCCTGTTGCTCCAGCTGGCCTAGAACTCATTATGTAGACCAAGTTGGTCTTGAACTCACAGAGATCTGCCTGCCTCTGCCTCCCAAGTGCTGGGATTAAAGGTGTTTGCCACCACACCTGGCTGTGCTGAAAATTTAATTTAAGTAAGTTAAATTCAAATAGTTAACCAAACTAGTGGCTGCCATATTGGCCAGTGTAGTAACTTAGGGGTTGATAGACACAGGAGAACTGCTGTTCACAGAAAAGCCAATCTATTTCTAAAGTTTGGCCTAGACTCCAAAGAGTGAAAGCCTAAAAAGGGACAAATGGAAGATAATTTTTAATTTCTTTTCTTTTCTTTTTTTTTGGTCTTTTTGAGACAGGGTCTCCCTGTAGCCCCAGCTGTCCTGGAACTCACTATGTAGACCAGGCTGGCCTTGAACTCACAGAGATCCGCCTGCCTCTGCCTCCCGAGTGCTGGGATTTTTGTACCCCCTCTGAACCCTGGGACATTTGACAGAAATGTGTGTGTGTGTGTGTGTGTGTGTGTGTGTGTGTGTGTGTATGCGCGCTGCTGGGAGCATGTCCCAGCCTTTGCCCACACTAGGCAAGAACATCACCACTGAACTACACTCCTAGGCCCTAAGGAGACTTCTTCGATTGTTACAACTGGGGGTGTCACTGGCAGCTAGTGAGTGGAGGGTAGGGATACTCCTAAATAGTCTACAATGATCAGAACAGCACTTCCCAACCCAACAAAGAATTATCCAGCCCACCATGTCAAGAGTGCCACGGCTGAGTAACCCTACCACAGTATAATTTGGTTTCTTATCTAATTATTATTATACCAAACACAAAGTTCACTCATAGTGAACAAATTAAAATAGTAAGGGAATTTTCTTGAAAAGTATTCTTTTATCTTTTTGGTCCTTTTGAGACAGGGTCTCCCTGTAGCCCCGGCTGGCCTGGAACTCGCTATGTAGACCACGCTGGCCTTGAACTCACAGAGATCCACCTGCCTCTGCCTTCCAAGTACTGGGACTAAAGGTGTGTGCCACCACGCCAAGCTGAAAAGTATTCTTAATTAAAATTAAATCACTGAGAAGTAATTTTTTATAACATTTCTAAAGTTAAAATATCAAATTAGAGACTTTCTATGTCATTATATTATGAAGGAGGCCAGAAAACACAAAGAAGCAAGTATATAAAATAGTAAGTTTAGGTGAAAAACAGTAAAATAAGTTTGATGTTTGAACCATGTATTTATTTTCAAATCTTTCCCATGAATTAAAAAAATATTAAGAAGATTCTACATGCTTATAAAATAAGCTTTACCAAAAGTAAATTGGTACTTTTATATACATAAGGTACTTTTATTATACATTTTCCCCAATATTTCTGCTGTATAAGTACCATGAATTATTGAAGAAGCCACTCCAAAATTATTACTACATATTTAGAGGTAAGTTTAATGGGGATAAAAATC